AAAGTAAAGGGACAAATTATTTAGTCACATAACTGGATGGACTACCTTCAGGCATAGCTGGATCCAGCGGTTCAGATCTATTCCCATTCCTGAATCAGAGCCAGGGACAACGAAAGCTCCACTTGGCCACGCCCAGGTGAGGCTCCCTCCCAGAAAGACTCAAGCGCTGAAGTAACCCAGGTAGTGGGGCAGGTGCTGCCGGAAGGAAATAAGGAGGCTACAGGGCAGGTGAGGGCAGGGTGTTGACTCTGAGGCCTCTTCAGGAAGCTGTGTTCCCACCTGCTGAGTCTAAGGCTCTTCAGCTAAGTGCAGCCTCCGGCCTTGAGCCCTCGGGACTCCTTGACACAAAGTTGACTCCCCAGGCTTGGCGCCCACCTCCCATTTGTCAACAAAGTAGCAGTGCTTACTCGGTGCATGTGACATGGGGCTGTGGGACTCTGGCACTCCCTGGGGCTCCTACTGGGCTCGCTCTACCCGCTTGGTGATGGCAGGACGGGGGAGGCAGGAGTGGGTGCGGGGGACCTTCCTACTCCCTGCGACCCGCATCTTTGGCTAAAGGAGATAGTGGGCAGGCAGGGTTTTGCAAAGAAAGTAGCAGCATGAGGTCTACAACGATGCACTTATTTGTCCAGTCAGCCTCGAGTCCGCCTGTGTGGAGCCTGAGACGCTCCAGTTCTCTGGAGGTCCCAGAGCAGAGACGCTGAGAGCAGACTGTCCAGGTCCAAATTCCAGCCTGCTACTTTCTTGCAGTGACCTGGGGATCATGACAGCGTTCCATTCACGGGACTTTCGGGGAGGAAAAAACTAAGACAAATAAAGCACTTAAATCAAGGTCAGTTCTACAACTGCCACTCGCCCACCTACCCCCATCCCCCACCCCATTTCTTTCTTTCTTCTTCTTTTTTTTTTTTTTTTAGTCAGGAATTAAATCGGGGACCTTCTCCTTGAGGTACATGCTATTCCTTTTTGATTTTGACACAGGATCTCCCTAAATTGTCCAGGCTGGGCTCCAATTTGTAATTCTCCTGCCTCAGCCTCCCAAAGAGCTGTGATTACAGTCATGCACCACCAAACCCCACTAGTCGCATCTGACTTTTTTGTAACTCTGAATCTGGGGCAAGTCACTTCATTTCTGTGTCTGTTTCCTTATCACGTAAGGCATTATGTGGCTGAGGTAACCCTTGCATCGCTAAGCATGGTGGCATACAGGTGTACTCAGGAAGCTCAGGCAGGAGAATCGCGGGGAGAGTTCGAGGCCAGCCTGAGCTACACAGCGAGCCCCCCCCCCAAAAAAAAAGAAAAGGAGATAACAAATACTGCATTTAGATCAGCACCCGTCGCCCACAGGGAGTGATAAGTATGTTTATCAACAGTACCTTTACCAACTCTTGGATACCGGTCAGCTAGAGCCTGTGCTGCGGGGAACCTCCCCTTTCGGGAGCAGAGACAGACGTGCGGCAGGTGGAAAGGACCCAGCCTGTGGGGCCTTCGAGCAAGGACAACCCAAATGCCAGTGCCTGGCCTGGCAGCCCACCCGAAAGCTCCAGGTCTCAGCGCCCGAGGCGTCCCCGCGTCGGCCTCCACCCCCTGCCTGCCCGCCCGCCCGCTCCCCCGCAGCCAGGAATGTAAGAGGCAGGTGGGGGCGGGGAGGCGCGGCCCGGCGGGAGACAAAGGGGCCGAGTCAGAGCGCCACACAAAGACTCGGCGGCGGGGAAGTGGGACAAGGACACGGGGAGGGACCGCAGAGTCCAGAGCCAGGCCCGCCTGGCGCGATCCGACCCACCCTACCCTGCCCTGCCCGGCCGGGCCGGCCTGCCTGGCGGTGCGGTCTGTGCTGCCCCCTGGCGGGAGGTGCGGAAACACAGACCGCGGGAAAGGGACCCGGGGACGCGCCGAGGGAGGGTCACGAGGAAAGGAGGGACACAGAAATAGAGGCACAGACACAGAGAAACAAGAGGGGCTTAGAGACAGAAACAAGAGTCAAAGGGATGGAAAGAAATGGGGACCAAGCGACACAAAAGCACTGACAAAGAGGGGCCAGAAAAACAATTCTGAGGCTTCAAGATCGGAAAGATCCCGACAGATACAGGGACAGAGGGAAGGGAGATACAAAAATAATGACAGATATTGAGAAATCTAGAAAAAAATGACGCGGCGACGCCCAGAATCGGGAAGAGACTGGAAAGAGACTTGGGTAAGCGAAGAGAAGCCTGGAAAGCTGGACTGACGTGAGGTTGAGACTGGAAAACCTGCCCGACGAGGAGGCGGAGCCTCGGCGTGGGCGGGGCTCCAAAGGGGCGGGCCTATGGGAGCCCGCAAGCCTCAAGCAAGCGGGATCAGGGACCTGGCTACGCAGAAGGGGGGTGGAATCAAGACTGTGGGTAGGGCTGAGGCCGGCCGGGATGAGTTCCTACAGAGAGTGGACAGGCTACTGGAAAGGCGGGTAGGCAGGGCCGGTTTGGGGGCGTGGCTCCACGGGGGCGGGAACGGCCGGAAGTGCCCGAGGAGGCGTGGCAGAGCCTTTGTAGAGCGGTCCGCAGGTGGGGCCCGGGGCGTTCCGGACGCCCCTGGAGCAGGGGCGGGGCTACATGCTGAAGGGGCGGTTTTAATAGCATATAAGGGCGGAGATAGAACCTGGGGGAGGAGCGATCCTGGGCGGGATCCTGGGGCGTGAGGGTATAAAATCCTGGGAGCTGGCGGCGCCAGAACCCCGGAGCGGGGAGGGGGCGTGGCTGATCCTCTTGGGGGCGTGGTCGCAGTCCAGATCGGCTCCGAGGGGGGGAGGGTAGGGGATAGGTTCAGTGACGTCAGCTAGTCCGAGAGGCCGGAGCTCGGTGAGGGGCCCGGGGCGCGGATCCCGAGAGCCGGGCGGGGAAAGCTGAGCCGGGAGAACCTAACAGGGAGAGCGGTGACCGGCGGGAACTGGCCTGGAGCCGCACCCCCAAGCACCTGCTCGCCTGCCCAGCGGATCGGCCAGTGCGGAGTGGCCCGCAAGCCCCCGCCCCGGCCCAGCCCCCTCCCGGGCCCCCCATGGCCCGGGCCGCAGCCCTCCCGCCGTCGAGATTGTCGCCGACGCTGCCGCTGTTGTCGCTATTGCTGTTACAGCTCCGAGAAACAGGTAGAAGACTGGACCACCCCTCCCTCCCTCCCTCCCTAGCGCCCTTCTCTCCCGCTTCCAGCTCCCCGGCCCCGAGGCCCCTCTCGCGCCCCCTTCCAGGCTGGGCCTACCCACCTCTATACAAACGCACCTTATCCTCTCCAATTCCCCGACTCCTCCTCTAAGCGCCCTCACCTCGTCACACCCTGTACCCCACCTGTCCATCCTGCCCTGGACTTGGGAGGGGGCTTGGGTCCTTGAGCCCAAGGAGTTAAATCTGAGGTCTGAGGAGGCCTCTCGCCCCTCCGATCCGTAGTACTGGACCTGTTCCTGGCTTGCTGCCGGCTCTAGGAATGTGGGGAATGTGTCTCTCCCATGGGGGAGGGTCGTGCTGATGGCGAAGGAGACCCCCACCCCGTGTTTCCTTCTTGCCAAGGTTGAGAGTCTGGGCCCAGAAGGACTTGAAGGCAAGGACCACTGAGGCAGGAAGTCTAAAAAAGGACAGAGAGCTCGCACTTTGGGGTCCTGAGCCACCAAGGATGAGAGCTGGGGCGCCCTGAAGTGAGAGGTTCTGAGCCCGGACAGGTCTGGTCCGGACTTTTCAGTTTAAGACCAGTAATTCCAGAAAGATGAGGGGCTGGGGTCCCAGTCCTGTCTTGAATCCTGGCTAGATCAAGGCCAGGGGTTGTTACTGACTGGGGTCGGACCCGGTTTCGTGACACAAGGGGCTCCAGTTTTTGAGTTCTGGATTGGATTGTGGGTTGAGTGCTCCAACTCCTGGGTTCCTGGTAGGACTTGGGGCTGGAGGCTTGATCTGGTGGGCTTCAGATTGAACTGGACGGAGAATGTCTTCTGATAGCCAGACACTGAGGCAAGAAGGCGCTTACTTTGGCCTCCGGATAGAATCAAGGGCTGGCTGCTGTGTGCAGAAGTTGGGGGCTGCTGTGTGCAGAAGTTGGGGGCTCACAAGGCTGAGTCCAGGTGGGTCGGGCGACGGGAGGCTGGAGCTGCCTCCGCGTTCCGGTGAGCCGTCAGGTCTGGGAAGTTTACCCGGGTATTGCCTTTGCCCAGCTGGGGCGGGGCAGGCAGGCGGGAAATTGTCCTGTTCCTGGTTCCGGACTCCCAGTTTCGGGGACCTTATCTTTCCTCCTGTCTTGCCTTTGTCCTCTGAGCCGCTATGGGGGTGGAGCTGATGAGCCAGTCCCAGCATGTCACCCCCTACCCCCACCGGGTCGCTGCCTGGGGAGGGGCGCGGCCCCCAGAGGAGGGAGAGGCTGAGAGGACACAGGTGAATGATCCGGGTGCCGCCCCTTGCAGGTGATAGACTGTGCCCAGCTAGAAACTTGAGGATGCTGGAGTTTCCCAAGGGTTTGCTCAGAGAGGGCCTCAGAAGGCTCTTGGGGAAACCTGGTGATTCCTCTGGCCTCAAGCTCCCCGGATGTGTCTGAGTTTTTATTGGACCTCCACTCCAAACCATCACCAATCTCTCCACTCCCAGCCTCTCCCCTGTCAACCAAGGACAGATGAGATCAGAACTGCACCTGAGGGCCGGGGAGATGGCTCAGTGGAATAAGTGCTTCCCTGGCAAGCACAAGGGCCTGAGTTCAATCCCTGGTTCCGCAAAAAAAAAAAAAAAAAGAACTACACCTGAGGTGAACCTGAGACCTTGAGCCAAGACTCACTTGATGCCTGGTCTCATAGAAGGTTCCTGATTACTGCCAAGAAAGAGTTCTTCCTGTTTCCTTGTTAAGAATGAGGAAACAGAGGCTTAGGAAGGGCAAACCACTTTCCCAGGGTCCTACCACCATCCCTGGGCAGCCAGACTCTGGGACCTGCCCTCTGGATGCCAGCTCTTCAGAGCCCTTGGTGGGGTGTACCCCAAAGTGCCCCTGAGCCTCCATTTCCTCCTTCATAAAACCAAAGTGACAGGGTCACTTCCCTACAGGACCACTGGGAGGGTTCACAGGCCCCACAGTGCTGTGGATGGGGACACTAAGAAGGGGCCTTTCCTTCCCACCAACCTCATCCTTCTGCTTCTGCTTGCAGCCCTCTTAGCTACTGCCCTCTCTCTTCCTCCCTCCCTTCACAATCTCCCTTCTTCCTCTCTTCCTTTCTCACCCTCTCTCCCTCCTCCTCTGGCTCCTTTTTCCCTTCACTTCCCCAGCTCTCCGTCCTTTCCCTCCATCCTGTTTCCCTGCCCCTCACTTCTGCCCCACTCTGTGGCCCCCTGAGAGTGCAGCTGCCCCATCTGGACCCCCAGCCAGCCTGCCCCGTTCCTTCCTTGTTCTCTGCTCCTTGGTGTCAGCTCAGCAGCCCCAGCAAGCCTAGTGGGGGAGGGGAGGAGGGGACTCAGGCTGAGCTGTCTCTTCTCGTTAGGGAAAGGGACTAAACAGAAGAACTGCAGGGACAAGATCTACAGAGAAGACAGAGATACAGGGGTGGGGACTAAAGCCACAGAGGGAACGGACAGGACCAGATCTAAGGACAAGGCTGATGCATCCATAGGAATGGTACAGAGATGAGGGGGTGACATTCAGCCACAGGAAGTGGGCAAAAAGACTGGGGAGGGATGAGGCTGGTGGGGGAAGGGAGACAGGCAGGGACCAGAGTCAGGGAGGGGGGGTTGGTGATGGGCAGGGAGCAGAGACCCCCCACCTATAGGGACAGGAGGGATACATTGACCCTTGGAGGTCAGGGCCAGTAGCTTGTGGGGCCATAGAGAGCGGCAGACATGGGAGGGACCAGGAACTATGCACTGGGGCCAGCTCCCCCGCCCCTGCCTGGGACGCTGTTACATTTTTAATGTCCCAGCAAGGCTGAGAAATGGAGCAGGAGGGGGAGGGGAAGAAGGGACCCAGTGAGTGGACCATGAAATAAGAAAGTGTGTCAGGGAGGTAGAGAGCCAGGCAGCAGGGAGACCCCTGGTCAGAGACACAGAGACGCCTTAAAGGATGCGGCCCAGGGACGCTGAGAGACCAGAGTCCCTGGGAATCACAGGCAGAGGCAGATTTTGGACACAGAAGACCCAGACCTGAGAGAGAGGAAAAAACATGAGAGAATGAAGCCTGGCACGCAGTGCATGTGTGCAATCCCAGCACTTTGAGAGGCTGAGGCAGGAGGGTCTCATTTGTAAGTTCTAGCTCACCCCAAGCAACTTAGGAAAACCCTATCTCAAAACAAAAAATTGAAAAAATCTCTGGCTAAGTGTGTAGTTTGGCGTTAAGGCCCGGGGTTCAATCTTCAGTACTATGAAAAGGAAAGGAAATGAAAGGAGAGAAACAGAAAGGAAGGGGAAGGGAGCGGAGGAGAGGGGGAAAGACAGAAAACAGAAGAACCAATTAGGGGGCATAGATGTGTCTGTGATTATGAGAAGGTTTGAGAATTGATTGTGGCAATGGACGCATGGCCCTGTGGGCACACTAAACAATACTCAACTGAGGGGCCGGGGAGATGGCTCAGTGGAATAAGTGCTTCCCTAGCAAGCGCAAGGGCCTGAGTTCAATCCCTGGTTCCGCAAAAAAAAAAAAAAAAGCAATACTGAACTGGACACATGGAGTGGATTATGGCGTGATAAAACTGTTCAAGAGAGGTGGAGGCCGGGCCCTGGTCCCTGAGAACCAACACAGGCAGGGACTCCGGGATACACCAAAGAGGAGGCAGACTGGGCCCTGAGGTGTGAACTCCCATAGCAGGATGTGGGTGGGATCTGCCCACCCAGCCAGGAAGAGCTGCCCAAGAATCAACCATGGAGGCTGGTAGTGGGGACAGAGCAGGACAAACCTGAAGGCACGATTGGTCGAAAAGGCACGGCTCTTGGCCATGAGTGGTGAAGGCCAGGAGGCAGGCAAGGAAATCCAGGCCCAGGCCCACTGTAGTCCTGGCTGCTGCTGCTGCTCACCCGAGACTGGCTGTGGAGTTCCGCTGTGGGGGTGGGTACTGTGATTAATGCAATTAATTAATTAACCAGGTGGCTGAGGCAGCAGCTGAGGCAGGACTTCCAGGGCCTCTTGGAGAATCCTGCCACACCCTGCCTCTTAGGCTGGGGGGTGGAGGGGGGTGGGAGGCAGGGCCTGAGGAGCTGGCCAGGCTGGAATCCCAGGACTAGATCCATCCTCTTCCCTCAGACCTAGGGGTCCAGGCACCAGATTCTGTCCCTGCTGCCCTGGTCTCCACCAGTCACTGTGCCCCCTGCCTGCTTCTCAGGGTCTCCTACTCTTATGTCCCTGTACCCTGAATTTCTCCCTTGGCCTGCAGTGCCCCCTCTGCCATGGATGGAAGCCTGCAGGCCTGGCCCATAGGGACAGGAAGTGTGTTTGGGGACCCGACTGACACCTCTGTAACACTATCGCCAGCAGCCAGAGCTGTCATAGCCACTCCTCCCCACCCCCGCCCCCTCAGTGCTGGCCTTGTCCCTGCCAAGGTCAGGAAGAGCCATCCGGCTGCACTGAGCAGGACATGGCTCTCACTCTGTGCCAGTGCTCCGCCTGCTTCATTCCCCTGTCCAGCTGACCTGTCCCAACCCCGGCCACACAACATACTCGCTTCTCTCCTAACTCTCCATGGCTACCCAGTGCCCTCAGGACAAAGCCCCAGCTCTGACTCTGCCTCAGCTGTGCTACCTAGTGCACCAGGATTCCTGGTCTCCCTCTCCCTCGCTGGTGGTGCCCACCTGTGGGGCCTCGACAATACGCTACCCTGTCTGGGCTCTGGGAACATAGGAGTGAAGGAAACAGCCATCCATCTGTGCCCCAGGTCTGATGTGCTAGTGGGGGAGGTAAGCAGGTTCTAGATGACAGATTCTGTTTGGTGTTATGGGGGCAAAGGGAGCCAGATCTAGGGTCCTTGCTACTGTCCATATGTGGTGGGCAGGGAATGCTTCAGTGAGCATTAGACCTGGAGGGAGGGAAGGAGAAAGGCGCAGAGGCTGGAGCAGGAATGAAAGGCATGTGTGCAGGCCCTGAGGCAGGACTTGCATGCTGTTTAAGGAGTGGTGCGGAGACCAGCCTGGACGAGATGAGGCA